TAGATAGATAGATAGATAGATAGATAGATAGATAGATAGATAGGACAGACAGATCAAGGAATTATGTAACTTTCTTGAGAAAACATAAACTTTATCCTTCACAAGTCAAATAAAAATTCTAAAAAGTGTGTGGGTTTACTGAAATAAAAATTATATACCAGTTCTCTATCATAATCTCAGACAAAAACGATACCCAAATAAAAAAGCGGAGAGCTAAGACAGGGAGGATGGAACACAGTGCATCTTGTGGCATGCCTAGCTCAGAGCTTCATGATCAATCACCTCAAGTAATTGTTGTCTTTGGAACCAAACGAATTTATTTTTAAAAATTTAAGTGTGTCAGAAGCACCCTGACTTTATATTCAGGTAAGTCTCAAAATGTGTATTTGAAGTAAATTTTTCAATTTCAAGAAGTGTTATAAGCTGCAGAAGAGTGGAAGGCATTGTGACATTTAGAAATTTACTTTGCTTCCCTGGAGATTGGGTTCATTTTATTTTCAGGAACAGATTTATTTGATGAGAGATTACGTTTTCTCAATCCATAGTAATAGATCACTTTAGAATCATATTTGTTTTTAATCAAAATTTTTTTCTTAACAAACACAATTCATTGTTTTGGTTCACCATGTCATGGAGGAAGCAACATGTATTGGTAATGAAAACTAATTATAAAAAATTTAAAACAAAAAATACCTTTTCAGATATAAAAGAATTATTTAACTCATTTTCTTGAAGACGTTTGGTTCAAAAAGCCATGGCATAAACCACAACAAGCCACTAGGTGGCGATATTTGAGTCCAAATGGAACTGGCCTCTAGTCTCAGGGTTTCCTTGACAACAAGCCAACAGAATTTGAGGTCGTCTTAGTAGCTTCAAAGGAATCCTGGTGGTTCTGTAGGATAAGCACTGGATTGCTAACTGCAGAATCAGCACTTAAAGCCCACCAGCCGCTCCACACACAAAAAAGTCAGGCTTTCTGCTCCAACAAAAAGTTAGCATTTGGCAGTGCATCCAGTAAATTTTAATGTTTAATGGATTTTGATAAATGGAGAGACGACTGAAGTTGTTGTCAAAGACTTTATTTTTCTTGGCTCCACTATTAACACTCATGGAAGCAGCACTAAAAAAAAAATCAAATGACATATTGCATTAGGTAAATCTGCTGCACAAAACCTATTTAAAGTGTTCATGAGCAAAGGTGTCAGCTTGAGGACTAAGGTGCACCTGACCCAAACCATGGTATTTTCAATAACTTCATATGGATGTGAAAGTTGGACAATGAATAAGGAAGACCATAGAAGAACTGATGCATTTGAGTTATGGTGTTGGAAAAAACAGTAAAAGTACCATGGTTTGGCAGAAGAACAAACATATCTGCGTTGGAAGACACACAGACAGAATGCTTCTTAGAAGCCAGGACGGAGAGACTTTGTCTCTCATACATCGGACATTGTAAGGAGGGACCAGTCCCTGGAGAAGGATATCATGCTTAGTAAAGTGAGGACCCCTATCGAGTCTGAGTGGCACAGTGGCAGCAGCAATGGACTCAAGCTTAACGACTGTGAGGATGGGGAAGGCCCAGGCAGTGTTTCATTCTGGTGTGCATGAGGTCGTTATGAATTGGAAATAACTTAATGGCACCTAACAACAACAACAAATTCTGACTTTGAGGAGCATACTAGGATAAGTACTGAGTTAAGAATCCCAAGGTTGGCCATTTGAGCTCCCCCAGCTGCTCTGCTGGGAGAATGCTAAGGCTTTCTGCTCCCCCAAAAGATTACAGCCTTGGAAACCCTATTCAGGGTCTCTATGAGTCCAAAGTGACTACACAGAACTTAAGAACGTTATTTTGACGTTGAAAGGAAATGTCAGTTAGAAGAAGCATTTGAGGGCTAAGACCACAAGTGAAGAAAAGTCAAATTAAAAGCCTTCACAGGGGTGAGGAACATCCGGCCCTCAGGCCAATGAGTCCTGGTGTGGTACAGTGGACTAACGCACTGAACTGCAAAGTTGGTTTGATCTGCAAGGTTGCGTTTCAAGCTCACCAGCTGCTCCTTGGAAACCCTATACAGGGATGCTATGGGTTGGAATCAACTCAATGGCACTTCACAACAATAACAATGTGATGGCTGAAACTGTGGTTGCTATGGCAGGGCCAGACTAAATGCAACCTTGCAGATCAAACCAACTTTGCAGTTCAGTGCGTTAGCCCACTGTACCACACCAGGACTCATTGGGGGTGAAATAATTAATGACCATAATTCAAATCCATTGATTTTTCTCCTAAATACAGAAGGCTAATTTTGAAACTGATCATTTTATATGGCCCACGAATGAGGCTGTAAATTTGGGGGGGGGGGGGGGGAAGGTTCCCCATCCCTCATCTAGTATAGTAGCTTTAAGAAAAATCACACTCAGTCAGGAATCTTAAATATCTGCTTAGAACACAGCATTTTCTTAAATACTGGTTGTTGTTGTTAAGTGCTGTTGAGTCAGTTCCAACCCATAGCCACCATGTCTAGGGTTTCTGGGGAGCAGCTGGTGAGCTTGAACTGCCAACCTTGCAGTTCAGACAACTTTGTAGTCTGGAGCATTAACCCACAGCACCACGCCAGGACTCCTAAATACTGGTAGTGCAGATATAAACAATTCAATAACATACTGCAACTAGTATCTTAGAATCACATTGAGAAAGGAATTTCTTCTTCCAAGAAGAGATCATCATAAAAGTGGGTGACTTTTTAAAAGTACAAAATTGTATGATTATCAAATCTTAAAACCTCGGATCTTGAGGACTAGGCTTAGTGTTTGACCACCAATGAATTAAAACTATTCACTCCAAAGTCTAGTGACAAGCTAGATCTTTATCAGACAAATGAAATCTACTTGTTAGTTCAGTATTTCCTGTCAGAAAATATTTTCTTGCCATCTAACCTCAAATTTGACCGAAGACATAATGTTGTCAACCACCTCCAAATGCATGTGAAAGTTGAACAGTGAATAACAAAGACAGGAGAAGAATCGATGCATTTGAGTTACAGTGTTGGAAAAGAATATTAAAAGTACCATGGGCTGGCAGAACAAACAAACCTATATTGCAAGAAGGACAGCCAGAATGCTCCTTAGAAGCCAGGATGACGAGACTTCATCTCTTATACTTTGGACATGTTATCAGGAGGGATCAGACCCTGGAGAAGGACATCATGCTGGGTAAAGTGGAGAGTCAGTGAGAAAGAGGAGGCACCCAATGAGATGGGTTTGCACAATGCCAACAGCAGTTAGGCTCAAAAGTAACAACAATTATAGGATGGCACAGAGCCGGGCAGTGTTCCGTTCTGTTGTGCGTAGGACCACTCTGAGGTGGACCCGACTCAATGGTACCTAACACCTTCAAATGCCCTCTGCTGCAATTCAAGCCAATTTCCCTTACTTTATTCACAGACCATACCAAAACAAAAAGGCAGCAAATCTATCAGTCTTCTCAGTTTCACATATTTACAAAACTTATTGTCAAGTCACATCCAACTCATGGCAACCCCACATGTGTCCCAGCACAACTACGTATCTTAGAGTTTCAATGGCTGTGACTTTTCACTGGTGACCAGGTCTTTCTTCTGAGGTACCACTGGGTAGACTAGAACCACTAGCCGTTTCACTAGTAGCCAAGCATTTAACAACTTGTACCACCCAGACAGCCTCATGTATTTGAAGACAGCCTTTAAGATGTGAATGGTACATTACTTTTTAGATCGTCTATGTTGCAACCTCACTTTGGACCAGGGGTCTGCCTTCCTAGCATGGATCAGCAATGGAGAACAATGAACAGAGATCATTGTACCGGTGAATTCAGAGAAAGGATGATCAGGAACATCGTATCATATGCTCGTCCATAAAGCCTATATAAAACATAACAAACTCAAACCAAATCCAACGCCATTGAATCGATTCTAATAATGACTCTACAGAAGGTGTTCAAGACTGTAAATCTTTACAGGAGAAGACAGCCTCATCTCTCTATGAAATATAAAAGTGTGTCCAAATTCAGAAGGAGCAACAGACAGACTCAAGTTTGTCTAATAATCCCATTGTCCATGACAGTGTTGAAAGAGTGACCTCTCACAGTCTGGGCTCTGCTGTGGACAGAGCTGTCGTATGTGTGTAGGGTCGCTATTCTCAGACTTAACCGTGTCACTTCAGAGAACTAGGAGGACAAACTGCAGTGACTCACAAGAGGCTCTCACCTCTAGCAATTAATGTACCCAACTTATCAATTTAGTCATTCAAGGCACATTGTTGTTGTTGTGGTTGTTAGGTGTCATCGAGTCGGTACTGACTCATAGCGACCCTATGCACAAAAGAATGAAACATTGCCCAATCCTAGGCCAACCTTACTATTGTAGCCATGCTTTAGCCCATTGATGCTGCCACTTTGCCAATCTATCTCGCTGGGG